ATCTATCAAAATCACCAAAAGCTTCTTTGGGATTCAATCCAACCAACCAAATCTTCAAGACCCACATCCCAAAACCCATCAGGATCATGTCCCAAGCTTCACAATCTTTGCCTCTCAAGTCTGGGAAAGTCGAACCCATGGAGACCCAAGAAGGATTTGCCTCGAAACCCACGTTGGATTTTCATGGGATCGATCAAAAACTGGTTGACAAGATGGTTTACGATGCTCTCGTTTGGAGCTCTCTTCATGGTCTTGTTGTTGGCGACAAATCTGTTCAGGTCAGTGGCTGTTGTAGATTGGCGGGCCCACTATTTTATTCCTGTTAAATGTTGTAATTGTCGATGTGATATGATATCTGATGATTATTCTGGTACTTTTTCTCTTAAAGCTACCATTTTTTATTTTTTGAGAGATTAAAGTTGGTTTTTTTTTTTCCATTAATAATTTCTGGTGTTATCACTTTGAATTTAGACTTGTGTTATGCATTGCATTTGTCTATAAAGTTATGGGTTGATTTTGATATTGAGTTACTTATGAAGCACAGAGATCAGGAAAAGTACCTGGTGTTGGAATGGTCCATGCCCCATTTGCTTTGTTGCCAATGCCATTCCCAGAAAGTCATTGGAAACAAGCATGTGAAGTTGCCCCAATATTTAATGAACTTGTTGATAGAGTCAGTTTGGATGCAAAATTTCTGCAGGACTCACTATCCAGGTGCTCTCTTTCTGTCTTTCTACACACACACACACACACATTGTGCATGTATTTGTATTGTTAGTTTCTTCTTTTTTTCTTTGGTTGATATTGATGATAAGATACACTCAAACCACAGAACTAAGAAAGTGGATGGCTTTACCTCAAGACTTCTAGATATTCATTCCAAGATGATAGAGATCGGCAAGAAAGAGGCAAGTGTATAACGGAAAGTTTTGAACTTTATATAGTACACATCTGACCAAGTTTGGGGATCAAGTTGTTTATTTCTGGGTTCAAGATTATAATGTTGAACTTTTTTCTGTGTCTAAGAAAGTTGGGTATGAAAATATTATTTGTAATCTTTTTTGATGGCTTGCACAGGATATACGCTTGGGTTTGCATCGCTCAGATTATATGCTTGATGAACAGACTAAATCTCTCCTCCAAATAGAGATGAACACAATTTCGTCTTCATTCGCTGGTTTGACTGGTCTTGTCAGTGAGCTTCACAGGTTAGTAATACTATAATTGCATTTGAATGTTCAAGACTTCAAGTAATTATCTTTGAGGTTTTCTAGATTTGTTTTAGATTGTTGTAATACTGGATTCAACCCTTATCCATGAAATGGCAGCACGGTCATCCTAATCTTCTAACCCATACTTAGTGGCGTACTATAATTCGAGAAGCCATACTGATACTCTTAGCAGCAAAAACGTTGATGATAGCTTTTTCAAGGCTAGCATTATGTGGTGTAGTATTTCTAAACGTGATATGGTGGTCTTCCAGGAGTTTACTTGATAGTTATGGAGAAGTTCTTCGATTAGATTCCAAAAGAATTCCTGGAAACACTTCTGTCAGTCAGTTTGCAGATGCATTGGCTAAAGCTTGGACTGAGTATAATAATCCCAGGTTAGACTGACAAAATAGCGTGCTTGCATGTGTGTGTGTGAATTTTTTTTACTGAACGGATCTTATGGACAGCTAATCCTAAAGACATTTTCTTTCCAGGTCTGCAGTCATGGTTGTGGTTCAAGCTGACGAACGTAACATGTATGACCAACATTGGCTTTCTTCAGTGTTGAAAGAAAGATATCCTTTTGTTTTGTCATTTTTTTTTTTAAATAACTTCTCATGTCTGAAAAATTAGTAATGCTTACAACATTTCTCTTTAATAGAAAGAGAGAAGATGGAAAAGGGGAGGCAGGTTTAAATATGATATGATTTACTAGGCCACATCTCAATAACTGTTGTCACGCCAGGCTTTTCATTCTGGGAAGTAGTGGGTGTGGGGGACGAAACCGCTTCTCTATTCCAAAGTTATCAAAATAATTTCTTTGGCAAAATATTTACTGGGCAAGTTATTTAGTGGAGTTTAGTTTATCAGAAGGTATGTTCCTCAACTTTATGACACACACAACATTAGAAGTATTCGGAGAACTTTGGCAGAAATTGATGCGGAAGGGGAACTTCAAGCTGATGGAACATTGACCTTGTATGTAGCCCTAACCGTGGAAAATTTTATGTTTTCGCTCAGTATTGTGGATCACTGTCTAAATTTGACGTCTGAAAAGCTTTGCATTTTCAGGGATGGCCAAGCTATTGCAGTCGTATATTTCAGAGCGGGGTATACACCAATTGACTATCCTTCTGAATCGGTAAGCAACTCTTCTTGCCGTACTTTAATATTTTTTCTTTACTGAATCATAGCTGTTGTTAATCAGCTGGAAATCCTCATATCTGATCAATAAGTTCTGTTGTTAGTTTATAAATGAATTTTCTTGTTAAATGGCTTTTAGTGCTGTGGTTGTTCAATTTGCAGGAGTGGAGAGCCAGGCTACTCATGGAGCAGTCATCTGCCATCAAGTGTCCATCAATATCTTATCATCTAGCAGGGACAAAGAAGATTCAGCAAGAACTTGCAAAGCCTGATGTGCTTGAAAGGTATAGCTATTGCCTGTCAGTACTTGATTTTCGCAGCAAAATGCCAAAAGGATGCTTGAATATAAATGATGTTTCAACTGGAAACATAATATATAGGCATAGGTTTTAAATGCGTTCATGTTCAGGGAATTATCCGTAGTTATCATTTTGCCTTCTAGTCATATTGCCTTAAATTAAGAAACCGAATGGCATGCCTACTAGCTAAAACATAATGAAGGTCCTGTTTGAAGCTTTCAATAGGTTATATTTGTGTTATATTAAGTAGCTGACGAGTGGTTATATAATCGAATAATGTAGAAGCTTCTTTATCCTTTTTGCTAAAGCAGGTTCCTTGACAACAAAGAGGATATTGCCAAACTGCGAAAATGCTTCGCAGGCTTATGGAGTTTGGATGATTCAGATATAGTCAGGAAAGCCATTGAAAGACCAGAGTTGTTTGTCATGAAACCCCAAAGAGAAGGAGGAGGTTCCATACTTTTGCAAATTTGCTTCGATATTGTTGTAGCAAGTATCCCATCATTAACTAATGATTTATCCATCACTGCAATGCAGGAAATAATATCTACGGCAATGATGTGAGGGAAATGCTTACAAGACTGCAGAAGGAAGGCACAGAAGAAGATGCTGCTTACATCCTTATGCAAAGGATTTTCCCCACCGTTTCTTCCACGTTTTTGCTGCGAAACGGAATTTGTCACAAAAATGATGCCATATCAGAACTAGGATTATATGGTGCTTACTTAAGGTAAAAGTCTACTTATATTTGCCAAAATATGGTTCTTTTTACTGGATGCATCTCATTTATGGCATAGAAGCCTTCCGTGAGCTGCAGGTTAGGAGAAATTGGACAGAAACATGTTCTAACCAAGATTCAAACACCAGGAAAAAAAAATGAAGAGAAATTAGGGAAAACTCAAAGAAAGAAGGGTCTCAACCCAATGTTCATTCACCAAAATCCCCCAGCTGCGTACGGCCTCAGCACAAGGAAATAAAACCTAGAGGAATCCATCATTTAGTGAGACAAACGACTGACTTAACCCTTGGTCTTAAGCATTAAACGACCAGCAGCCAAAATAAGGAACGACAGGCCGTTTAGGCTTAATACAAACGACGCGAACGACACAAACCCAAACGACAAAGTCTTCCACTTATTACAAGACAAGATTAAAGTCATATTGAAACTAAGAACCAACAAGAGGAGGAACATCCCCTGCATCAATTTAGGTTTGCTTTTGACGACATTAATGGATTTGAATGTGCAGGAACACAGATAAGGTGATTATTAACGAGCAATGCGGTTATCTAATGCGGACAAAGATTTCTTCATCGGATGAAGGTGGCGTTGCAGCAGGATTTGCAGTCTTAGATAGTTTATACTTGACTTGATGAAGCCGCTTTTCAAGTTGCTCTAATTTGATCAATATATGAAAGCCAACAATTCAGTAATTAACCCTCATTATTCTCAGGCACTATATCTGGGAAGTTGCTGGGTTTAAAACTGTTGGTTAAAGCAGAGTGCATTGTCTTGAATCCTTCTTGAAAATAAGTATGAGCGAAACTTGTGATAATAAAAATATTTTTTGAGTTGCAAAGAGTGATGCAATGTCCAACGCTTATAATGCTTGCTTGTTTTAAAAAAATAAAAAATAAAGAAATAAAAGAGGAGGATCATCTTAATTCTGTATACACTATTAAACCCCAAGTCAAATCTAAAACAGGAATAAGCTACTTTGGTTTTTGTTTTCCTTTTTGTTCTTGTTTTTTGTTTTTTTTTTGTTTTTTGTTTTTGTTTTTTTTTTTTTTTGCCAAAGGAAAAGCCAGTTAATCACAACATGAAAACTTGATGTGATGTTTTGTTTCAACTAAAACCACTAATCAAGCTTTTCATTTGGTTAACTTCTGTTGTATCATTTCTATTTGCAATTTGAAAACTTTATGAATTTTGTTGCGCGGATAGTGAATGCAATAAAAAGTTGAAATCAAGTTCCTTCCTTTTTTTTTTTTTTTTTTTTTTCAATGTTAGTTTTGTTGGAGCAAATTAAAGGTTTTTGGGGAAATGCGTTTTCAGATCTTTAATGATATAAAATTAGAATCTGATATAAAATATGAGAAACAAAACCTTGTTCCCAGCTTCATCTTCTCTTCTTGCTTCAAAATCTCCTTTTTACGTTTAAATGAAAATTTTAACTAACCCTCCTATTTTTGAAAATAAAACAACAATTAACTTGTTTCTTTTATTTTCTTGTAAAAAAATTATTTATTTATACATTTCATACTGAGAATGTGGGGACGCTGAGAGAGAACGACATGCACGTGATTTAAAATCCAGACGAGATCAGAATCATCCTGATTGGCTGATCCTAACTTCCAGAAAAATCTTATTGTTCCCATCCCAAAGGCCAAAAACAAGTAACCAACAAAATTAGAAATTATTACCTTCAAAAAAAAAAAAACCAAACATAATGATTAACATAAACGCTTTTTCATCAGGCGAATTCAAAGAGAATAATTTTTCCCCCACTGTCAGTGTCCCTTTTCTTTCTGCAAAACCTATAAATCCCTTCCTTTACACTTTCCTGGGATCTGGGTCTCCTTTATTTTCCCGGAAAAAGCAAAGGGTTTCTCTCTCAAGCAAAAACTGCTCCAATAATTTTGAGCTTAGTCAAAATTATCGGTTTTGTTATCATTTCATCACGCACATTTTCACTATCTGAGTCAGATATTTCTCTACTAATTTCCCTACCATCACACGCATTCCGAGAAAAAGCATTAAAGTGCATATGAGATAGAAGTTATCTGATCTTGGGTCGTTTTACGTTGCTCAAATAAAAGAATCAAAGTAAGGGTTTTTGTTTTTTTGTCGCTTTCGAGGACAAAAAAAAAGAAGAAAAACAAGAGATGGCTCATTCAGCAGACAAGAGAGTATGTAGTAGTCGTGGCGTTTTGAGGACAGTGTGGATTGTGTTTTGTGTGTGTTTGGTTGTGTACAACATAGGACCAATATGGTACTTTCGGTTGAAGGACAACTCCAAAACTCAAGGTTCATGTCCACAATGCCTTTGTGATTGCTCTTCTGACGATTTCTTTCCAATGCCTTCAGGTTAGAATTAGATTCACTTTTGAGTCTTTGATACACAATCTGTCATGTCCTTTTCTTTTTCTTAAATGATTTTATTTAAGACGTGGTGAATTATGGTTAGAAAATTTTGTTCTGTTTTTAAGCCGAGTGAATGTTGATTTGATCAAGTCAAGTGGAAGTTCTGATAGTTTCACCTTTTTCTCCCGTTTTGGATTTTCGTCATGGAAGTTTTTGGTATTATGGAGAACTCTGTGGTAGACAATAATCAATAGGAAACTGTTTCTAGCAAAAATAAATAAAATAAAAATCAATAGGAAACTGTATTTAAGTCGTCAGATTTCAATAAAGTTGTATTAGATTAAGAAAAGTATATGATCACTTAAATCTAACGGTATGTAATTTGTGTCCAACTAATATGGTATTGTTTAGTACTTTACTACAGAATTCTCATGTAATTATTTGTCAAGTTGTAGAATTTCGTTTTCTGAGCTTTATTTTTATATTTTGGTGTGTCAGCTCTCATGGTTGGGATGATTATATAATAATAATATTTTCACTTGAAGATACTTTTTTGGCTGTTTGCTGATTGGTTGTTATCCTGATGCAGGTTTCCCCAACATCTCACTAGCAGGTCAGTTGGTACTTTGGTCATCTGGCATTTGTCTTGTAATTAGTTTTGTGCTAGCTTCTATATCTAATATAAGTTCCAAAGAAAAAAAAAAACCTGACCCAAAATTCAAGGGAGATTCAATTGAAGTATAGTTGACTTTGAACACAAAGATTAAAAATGTAGGGTAATACATTTTTACCGTAAGAACTACTTGAATTTATGCACAAAAGAGCGTGTAGAAGTGGAAATACCTAAAGCAACCTAAAGACCCATATATGTAAGTAAGATATGGAAGCAAATAAGCGTTTGTGTAAATAATGTTTAAAAGAAAGGAATAATGTTCTGTTAGTATAACATTCTCCATTGACTTGTATTTGCAGACTGTGGTAAAGATGTTCCAGAATTGAGTGAGGAATTGAGAAAGGATTTACTAACTTTGACACTTGAAGAGTTAGATTTGCACAAAACTGTAGCCAATAGGAGCTTGGAACACACCAGGGCATTGGTTTTGGAAGCCAGAATAGCCTCTTCACACTACCAGAAAGAAGGCGAAAAGTGCAACGTGGGAGTAGAAACTTGTGAAGAAGCAAGGGAGGGAGCAGAAGCAGAGCTTGTAGAAGAGCGTAGGCTTTCGGCATTGTGGGAGGAACGAGCTCTTGAGCTTGGTTGGAAACCCAACAGAAGATTGTTTTCATGAATAAATTTCTATCCTCAATTGTTTTCCATCAATATAGTTTACAAATAGTTGTTGTTTCAGTAACTAGATTGTATAATGAATGATCAGGGGTCTCCGACGCTCAGTTTGAGTTGACATTACAACGCAAAATTTTTGTTCGCATTTCAATACTCTCTTTCAAAAATCAGTTTTTTTTTTTTTTTTTTTTTTTTTTTTTTTTTTTTTTTTTTTTTTTTTTTTGGGGGTAAATCTTGAAGGGACCAAGGTCATGGAAATAAATTTGCGCCCGGTAAATAAATAGACTAACAGTGCAGATTTTTGCTTTAGTATAGGCGAAGTACAGACCTTTAAATAGCAAAGACACTGTATATAACATTTCTATATAGTCTGCAAACATATAGAACTTTCTTCTATCAAGATAACTTTAATCCAATCCCATTTTAAGAACTTTCATGTATGATATTGGGAAGTTACTGTAATTAAACATTAGACGTTAATATACACAGCAATCAAGTACAGATCAAGTCAAAAGAATTCCAACCAAACTGAGGGGTAATGGTGCATACTCAAAAGAATCAATTGAGTGTCTGAATTGTGTGATTATTTTTGTCACATTTATTATCTTCTTCACTGTCATCTGAGTCAGCAAATTGGTCGAAGAAAGAGTCGAGATACCAAGGGCATTTTTCATTCCAATCACTTCTGTTGGCACCAGCTCGCCATTTTTGTTCAGCTATCATCTCCGGAGAAAGGCCCCATTCTAGTAGCTCTTCCTCTGTGTGATGGATTGCCAGGCTGTATTCTCCACCAGATCCCAACTGCATGACTCGGAACTTGCAGTTGCCAAGATTGTTCAGTTGCTCGAATTGCTCGACTGTCCACTTGAACCACTTCATGAGGAAGACTCGCAATGTCAGCCCATGAGAGATGATTATAAGATTCAGTTCATCTGTAGGGTCACGGTGAAGCCTATTCATGTCTATGTCCCTCCACAAAGATTCAAGAAAACCTGCAAAAGTTTGAGTTCAACTGGTTAATACACTCCTTTGGTTACGAAACGTGAGTAGACTCATTTATTGGAAGTTAGACTCTGAAGAAGTATTATTTCGGACTTGAATTTTCCAAAAATATTCATAATTTTCCCAAATGTCAAAGCAAAGCCAGTTTTAGTTTCCAGGGCCCTAATTTTCAAATGTCAACTCTTGATGCCATTATGTCCATTTTAAGACCGAATCATATTTACATTATATGACTATTCTAAGCAACAGCTTCGTTCTTAAAATCTTAGGACCCGTTTGGAGCATATATTCAAATCAGTGATTCTCGTTCATTAGTGGGAACTTTGTGAGAGAGAAAATTTTTGAATTCAGAATTCTTTTTGTAAGATAAAACACGCTGTAGCAGAACCCAAATAATCATGGTTCAAATATAATTAATTCCACATATGCATCATTATTCATTAGGGGCTAAAAGCTGATCATAACAGAACAAGGCTCACAATTTAGTGATTCCTTCAAGCTTATCAGCTTCACCAAAATTTTCAACGCACTAGTTTTCTAACTGAATGATATCTAGACCCAGAGTCCAGATTATTGAGGCTTTTAATCATGACATGAACCAGATAGTTATAACAATATATCAGTAAAACCTTCAATGGCTATGAAGAATAGACCTTCCCTTTATCCAAATTATGGTACAATGAATGATCCCAAAATCATTCCTTTATATTAAAGTTTCAAACATGCGCTTTTCTAATTTAACCAGAATAAATTCAAGGTTTTTCATCCAAATAAGAGTAAGGAAGAGAAAAGAAACGTACTCGAAACGCGATCGAAAATGTCGGCAGCCGATTCGCCCTCGGGGAAACGGTAGAAGAATCTTCCGAACCTCTCTCTGGTCTGCTTGGTGGCCTTCATTGTGTCCTCAACCTGGAAGTTCCCGAAGTCCTGTTCCCTTATCCGACACTCCTCCCGCACGCCAATCACGCGCCTCTTCGAGAAGGATTTCCCGACCTCCCGGAGCGTGGAGCGTGTGCGCTCGTAAGGCGACACGTAGAAGTAAACGCGCCACGACTTGGCACATCCGCCGCCGGAGACGACGTCGCGGAGGCGGGCGCCAGCGGAACTCGCCTGGGCGAGGCCGTTGTCGGTGAGGGGGATCCGGTAGTCGGGGGTGGTGGTGTAGGCGGCGCCGTCGAGGTTGCCCTGAGACTCGCCGTGGCGCATCAGGATTATCCGCTTTGGAAGGCCTGCCTTGTGGTTGTGGTGTTGCTGCGGCGACATTTTCTTCGTCTCTTTCGGATTTGATCTCTTTCCGACTGTCTTGGTTATCAAAATTAAAAAAAACAATTAGTAATGTAATCTCAGTGGTGGTTTTGACGGGACGGTTTAAATGGCTGATTTAAATTTTTAATTAAAATTTAAATGTAATTTTATGTAAAAAAATTTTATTATAATAAAAAAAAATGTGATTATTTTTAAAAAAATTTAACTGTAATAAAATTTAAACTCGGTGAAACAAATATGCCTAAGTGATGAGTGAAACAAATATGCCTAAGTGATGAGATTCATAGGCTGAAGTGTGATCTTTTGTTGTTCAACTCTCTATTTATAGGCTTCCATGTTCTTTTTCTATTTCTTTTTATTTATTTTACTAAAATGAAAAATTAAAAAGAAAACTTAAGTTGGAAGTTAATATACACGGGTTACTTATTGCTAAAGCATACATGTATTTGTTAAATTATGGGTATGTTTAGTACTAATTTTTAGAGCTTAAAATTAATTCTCTAGCTATTCATAGTTGAAATTTATATTTGTTAAAAATTATAAAAGTGATTCTTAAAGAATTTTTGAAGAATTTATGGTCAAAATCAGAAGCATCCAAAGATAACTTTAACTTTTAAATTGTGCGGCAATCACCTTGAAGTATAATTAATGAAACTTTCATAATACCTATAATACCCTGAAATCAATACTTGTATAATTACAGTTTACCAAACACTCAACTGCTTTTTGTAACGACTATTTTTTTTAGCACAGTTAATAATAATTTTTCTAAAATCTACAGCACTACCAAACTGGCCCTATATATGATTGGATTATTTTCATTAATGGCTTATGAGACATGCACTTGTTTTATTTCAGGCATCAGACATTTAAGGCATATTTGTTTGACCGTATTAGAGCACTATAATAATACAATAATACAATGTTTAGTATGACTATCGTATTGTATAAACTAATATGGATGGTAAATTAATATGGTATATGTCATATTATTGAATACGGTTCATTTTTTAATGTATTTTATTGTATTATTTCATAGTGGATTAATAATTCATGTCGAGATTGGGCACGCCTAGAGATCGGGATCGGGTTGACATAAAGTCATGCCAGACCCTATAATTGTTAAAAAATTTAGGGGGCACAATGCAAATTTTATATTTATTAAAAATTACATTTTGATGACAAAACTTTTATAAAATTACATTTTGACCCTAAACTTTTATAAAATTACATTTTAACCCTAAAATTTTTATAAAATTTCATTTTGATCTTAAAACTTTTAAAAAATTATATTTTCACCCCAAAATTTATCAAAAATTATATTTTAACCCAAAATTATTAAATTTTTTATTTTGACCCCTTATACAATACATCACAACACCAAACACCTTATTGTATTATGGTAATACAATACAATACACCTTATACATTACAAGCTACTAAACATGGCCTTAATTTTGAGAGAATAAGATAGATAGTATTTTTTGAACTGAGTAAAAATTAAGAATAAATTATTGAAATTTTTAATAAGGTACTAGATAACAATAAATTTAAGATTTATCTTTTACATCTCAGATTCGTCGCATAATCAAATTTGATAAATTTGAGAAGGTTTTTTTTTTATATAAATATTTTATATCTCTTAAAATCCATGCATATCATCCTTGTGTTGAATTTCATTTGAAAATATAGGGTGATTAAGTCTTTAAAAGGGAATAAGATAATAAGCAAACCCAACAGGTCTGATAAAATGGAACTCAATACTTTGTGTAGAGGAGTGCATTTATTATCGGTAATGTATGTTTTATTAGAGTGCCAATTAAATTAGAAGCAGATAATATAATTCAATAGGGAAAATGAATCAACAGTAAATACTAACTAGATACTAAAGATGTGATAGTTAAAAAACGTGCATAATTGATATTTTTAGTATATTGTCCAATGGTGCTAAAGTGGTTTGAAGAAGTTAAGAACAAAAGTGCGTGGGTATCAAATTGGCCTAAAAAATTATATGCTTTTCCAAAGAATTAAAAAGCCAATATTTGAATGCATTAAGATACCTTGCACATGGATGGATAAGATTCAGATTGCGTTCAGGAGTACTTCTTTGATAATTGGAAGTAAAGGCGTAATGTGGATGTAAGAGAAATACTAATATCATTCTATCCGTCACTCTTTTTATTACTTTTTACATTTATTATTTGACACATGTACTTCATTAGTTTATTCTTTGTTTAAATAATAATATATTATATTAGTAAAATTTATGTGTTAAATAATAAATATAAAAAATAATAAAGAAAGTAACGTACAAATCATGAATTTCTATCTATCTGCAACCGTTGTTTAGTTAAAAGTTGTTCATGTTAAGCTCAAGCTGTTCCCTAGAACAATTCCAACCTCAATGCCAAAAAAAGAAAGGCCCATTAATGCCCACAAGGCAAGAATTATTTCCTTTCTTTGGAGTTTTGATCTGGATTATTATGGGCAGAAAGATAATCATTTAAAAACAAAGAGTGCGTTTGAAACTCGTTTTAAAATGATTTTATTTTTTGTATGAAAATAAAAATAAAAACGTTTTTTATCTTAGACAAAAATTATTTTTAAAAATGCGTTTAATAATTTTATTAAGAGATTATTTTTAGTATAAAAAAATATATTAATATCTCTATTTCTTTCTCTTTGCTCAAGAGAGGAAAAAACGAAAATAAAAAATGAAAAACTTTTTCTTTACACTAAATTAAAAAATAGTTTTTATTTTTATTTTTTATCTTTATTACACTAAATGTTATTTTAAAAACGTTTTCATTTTTCTTTCTTAAAAAACATAAAAAATAAAAATAAGATCAATTCCAAACACGGTAAAAATCAACTTTTCCTATCCAAGAGTGGCTCATGGTTCACGTTAAGTGGTACAGAAGTCGTTAATTTGCAAAGAACAGATGCTTAATTAATTAATTTGCTGGTTTGTTTGAATTAATGACTGTCAAAATGATACTTTTGTACGCCCATAAATGATAGATGCCATATGCCTTTCTGGAATCATGTTTTTTCCATGGTCTGTATTTTCCATGTTATAATAACACGTTTCGCTCTTTAATTGCTTCCAGCTTTGGACAATCCATTATGCGCGTAATGTACAATGAAAATATATGCTTTTTATTTGGTAGAATTCGAATGAACAAATCTTTGCCTTTTCGTTTACAAAGAAAAAGTGGTCTCTCTGCTTTTTGTATTATTAAAGGCCATGAGCCACACAAAAAAAAAAAGGACGTGAATATGAAAAAAAAAAGCAAATCTTTGCTTTTTTATTTAATATTGTTAAAGGCCAATTAGGATGTAGGATCAAATTAATTTAATACTTTGTTATAGCAAAATATTAAATTGTTATTATGTGTTTTTCATAATATTAACATGATACCTTAATGTTTAAAAAAAAAAGTTGTACATTCAGGCCTTTTTGTACATTAAGACAGGCCTCGTTCACTTTGTGGATTCGAGTTTTTAATTCGAGTTGAGATGTGACATTTTTTTAGAGCTTTTCACTGTAACAAAAAAAGTTAGATGTGACATTTTCTGAGAGCTTTTTACTGTAAAAACCTAAAACTGAAAACTCGAATCGGTGAAATGAACAAGGCGAAATTGTCATTTCTATCTTTCTATTTATTTAATTAAAAATTACATATTTAAAAAATAATAATGAAAATGTGTAAAACTTTTAAAAACGGAAAAATAAAATAAAATAAAAAAAGCTTAAAGACAATAATCAAACAATCAGATCATCCACAAAAACCAAAACTAAAAGAAACGGATCTATTCTTTCTAATTCTTAATAATACCACAAACAAACCCAAGTATTCCTTTTCTTATACCACAATCAAATGTGAAAGCCAAAACTAAGGGCCTGTTTGTTTGCGTTTTCATTTTCGTTTTTCACGGTTTTCAAAGCAAAAAAATGAAAACGGGTGTTAAAAACGTGTTTGGTGCAATTTTTTTAAAAAAAAAAAAACCAAAAACGTTTTTGTCTTTTTGTGGAAATCAGAAAACGAAAAAAATGTGTTTTCATTTTCTCGTTTTCGTTTTCTATTTTCTAAAAAACGGATTTCACTTTTTTTTTTCTTTTTCATTTTCTTCCCTCTTTTCCGAAACTGTTTTTGTATTATATATGTTTATTTAATATATTTATTTAATATATTTATTTATTTAATCTATTATTATTTAATATATTTAATAATGTTATTTATTTAATATATTATTATTTAATATATTTAATAATGTTATTTATTTAATATATTATTATCTAATATATTTAATAATATTATTTATTTAATATATTTAATAATATTATTTATTTAATATATTATTACATGTTTTTAAAAATAACCACCAAACGCAGTTTCAATTTTTTTTAAAACTGAAATCAATCTCTAAATAAAACTACCAAACGTATTTTTAGAAATAATTCAAAAATGAAACTAAAAACGTTTTTATTTTCATTTTCGTACAGAAAATAAAAACGTTTTGGAATCAATTTCAAACGCACCCTAAAGAAACGGATATTCCTTTTCTTCTTCTCTGTTCTTCTCACACACTTTGCAGCACTTGACCTCATGAGCTAATCTAACATCATTGCTTTTATATCCCCAGAAAAATTGAAATCAAATCAGCCCCCTTATGCAATAAAAACAAAAACTTAAATTTGACCTTTTCAAAAGACTCATTAGTGCTACAGGGATGTCTCCTTGAACTAGGTCCAAGTTTTATAACAAATTATCACATCTTTGGGAAAACCCAGATAAATCATAACAAAATTTCTAAGTTTCAAGAGTTCTCGATGGATCGTAACAAACCCAGATCTTTGAACATAGCAAAGTTTTGGTTTTTCTCTTCCTCGGTAAAACCCAGATCTGTATAATCTAGATATGCCCAGCCTCCCTTTTCCATCTCCTCTCCCACCAGATCAGGTTCCCTCCACCTTATCAAACCCGCCCAGCTGGAAGAAGAAGAAGAAGAAGCACCACCTTTTCGCCATGCTTGTGATGGCTTCGGCTTCGAAGGCGGGGCAGGTGGGCGGCGGCGGGAGGGATGAACGGCGACGGGATCTGGTAGCGAAGGAATGGGAAACAACACCATTTTAACAACACAACCCAAAGTTTCAACAAAGGAATGGGAAATGGCGATTCTTCAGCATAACTTGCAGCAAAACACAACACAAAAGGCCGTTCGATTAGATAATTCGAGATAAAATGCAATTTAAAATTTTTTTATTATAATAAAAAATAAGTGATTAATTTTAAAAAAATTTTATTGTAATAAATTTTAAATTTTAAATTTAAGTCGGTAAAATGAATAAGATTAAAATTTTAAAATTAGTTTTTTCTGGGTTTTTGACAAAGGAATGGGAAGAATGTTTCTTCCTTTTATTTTTGGATCTGAGATGTTTTTAAAGAAAAATTTTTTCTTTTCAAATATTTGACAATTACGCTTTTAAATTTATTTTGTGTTTAGTTAAGTAAAATGATATTTTTGACATTTTATATTTTAAAAAAAATTAAATAATTGTGTTTTAAAATTTAAAAGTATCATTTTAATGTTATAAAAAATAAAAAATATTAATATAATATTTTGTTACAACAGAGAGTACCAAATATTATTGCATTTAAACAAAGGATCGCTGTCGCCGTGTTGACTTTCTTGTGTTCATGAAGTGGAAAAAAAATCGAGAGATAAAAAGATTATGAGAAAAGAAATGGAGATGGATAAAAAAGATTAAGAAAAAAGAAATAAAAATGCAGGGAATCGAACCTCTCGCATGCGAAGTAAGCGATTTACCATATGAGCTACATCGCCATATTGGGAACTTCGAAAAAAAGAGTTGACTCAAATTTTGAGCTGCCGAACAGCTCTTTATGTTTTTATATTTTTATCTTTTGCTTCTTTATTTTTTTATTTTTTATTTTTTGTTTTCAATTGAGTTTTGCTATCCTTTTTATTTGTCATGTTTTCCAATTTTTTAATTTATTTGATGTGCTATTGCGTTTTTTCCTCTAAACTTATACTATCATTTTATCACCCTTTTAACCTTTTACGTTTTCACTAAGTTATATATTGTCCTTTTCATCTTTTACATTAAGGGCGTGTTTGTTTAACTGTATTAGAGTTTTATATTGTATAATAATATAATAATATAATATTTGGTGTAATTATTATATTGTATAAAATAATACCGATGGTAATTAATACGGTATATGTCGTATTATTAAATACAACTCATTTTTAACGTATTGTATTGTATTCTTTTATAATGGATCAATAATTTATGTCGGAGTTGGACAAGACTAGAGGTCAGAGTCGGGCTAACATAAAGTCATGTCGGCATCTATAATAATTGAAAATTTTAGGGGGCACCATGCAAGTTTTTTATTTTTAAAAAATTACATTTTGACCCTAAAATTTTTTGTAAAATTACACTTTGATCCCAAAATTTTTATAAAATTTCCTTTTGACGCCAAAAACTTTTGAAAATTTATATTTGACCCTAAATTTTTTTAAATTTTACATTTTGACCCCAAAATTATTAAAATTTTACATTTTAACCCCTTATACAATACGTCATGACATCAAATACTCTATTGTATTATGATAATACAACACAATACAACATAATACAATACACAATATTCAATATAATACAATACAAGCGACCAAACATGACCTTATAGTGTTTTATAGATTTGTTTGTGTTGAACTACTTCTTTTCAAATATATTCTAATTAAATAATTTTACAAATTTATAGATATTATTTTATTAAATGTGGCTTTTATAAATGCACTTTCTAAATTTTCTCCACTTCAATAATTTTTCGCAATGACTTTTTAATTACAAAAATTTTTCCTTTTCATATATACACTAATTACTATACTATTTAATTTCTTTTAATATTTTTAAATGTGTTACATTTATCTATACGTGTAATTTTTATTAAAATACACATGTTAATATTACTTTTGAATTTTTTTTACACGCCATATCAACATAATTTTTCTCATATGCCTAAAAAATATATAAATATTATCTCTTATAGTTTTTGAAAACATTATTTTGTTCAAATATGATCGTTGTAAATACTTATCCTACTTAAACGTTTTCTTCCTAACGAACCTCTTGTAGACTATTTTCTCAAATATCCCCTTAAATAAGTAATTAAGAGAATAGTTAATAAATTAAAAAATGAAGTAAATTGTACGTGTATCAAACAATTCAATAAAATTAAAGTAAAATAAATAAAACTTCTTTGGATAAAGAAATGAATAGGTCCAAATATGTGGTTTTTTGGAGTATAATTCAGTTCCATTTCCTAAGGGAGTCAATGTAGACAGCCCATCAATGCAGCTAGAATAAATAAGGGAGAAAGAATAAAATATGTCAAGATTTGAGATGAATTAAAATTAATAGGCTAATAGTTTACATAAGTTAATAAATAAGTCAAATTACTATTTTCGTCCATAACTTGTCTGGTTATGAATCATAACTTGACAAGTCATTGTCCATAACTTATCTGGCTATGAACTATAACTTGACAAGTTTGTCCATAACTTATCTGGTTATGAACCATAACTTGACAAGTTATGGCCTATTAATTTTTATAACTAAAAATTGACCTATATACTTTCTTAAACTTTTCATATTGCCTTATTTTTTACTATTTCCCAATAAATAAATATATACATGAAAAACAGAAAAAAAAAAAAATTTGGTTCATAACTGGAACGTATACTTCGGCTTTTGAATCTGAAATCTCACATCATTTATTTAATTCACACAATCATATGTAGCAATTCGAAGCTTGCCGAAAGAAAATTATTTGTTTTCTTTAATTTCCTCGAAATGGGATGTATAGTCCATTCATAGAAGTCGACAAAATCCGTTATGATCTGACAAGTTTCTGCGTCTAAAACCGTGGTTTTTCTTTTTTCTAAAATGGGGGTTCTTGCGGAGCTTGTCAAAAATTCAATGAAGGGAATATTGACGTTAAGTCTCTCAAGAATTAGAAGTCGACGGTGCAAATCATATTGATCCTTGTCGTTTACGAGACGTGAGATCGATGGGGAGATTTCTTGGTGGATTCTTATTTCCTACGCTGCTTTTAATAGGTAAGCAAGCACCTCAAGACACGTTATATGCACCCTGGTTCTTATAATGCGTTGAAAAAATTTGCTTCCCTTCTAAAGTTTTCCAGTTTTAGGAGCGCTTTAAGTTTTTTTTTTTTCATTTGAGAATAATTACATTTTGGGACGTGGTTGATTGAGCTAGGAGAAAATGTTACAATCTGAAGACCTTTTATATGTGTCGAGTATCAATGTACGATTATATGGTTTATACTTATGCCATGCAGCCTCGCCTACTTTCTTACGTACAAAAAGTCCCACATAAAATAATTATAAGATTTATTATATATTGGATTTAAAAACTTTAGATTCTTTTTTGTTTTTTGAATGGATTCGTAACAATCGGTACCAGAGACAGTCCATACGTCATAACCTAACACAGATTGATCAAAATCTCCTGCTTTCAAAGACTATAATTCTTGTAACTGTTCATAAGGGTTAACTTCATGTTCTATACGTGATCCTTAATTAAGTCCCGTTCATTTCATCGATTCGAGTTTAAAATTTGAGTTTTGTTACAGTAAAAAACTCTCAGAAACAATCACATCTAACTTTTTTACTACAGTAAAAAGCTCTCACATAAAGTCACATCTCAATTCGAATTAAAAACTCAAATCAGCGAACTAAACCGGCTTTAAGCCATTTCTTTTGCTCTATTAATTCATGCAGCGGCTTTACTCAGTTGGAGTTTGATATCTCTTGCTGATCTGCTGGCCTTCCTTTTCATTCAATATACTGCTCCAAAACTTGGTAAGCTGCGCAGCCTGCATTTCTTAATTAGTTTCTTGAATTCTTGTTTGCACTTATTTGTACTTTTCAGTTTGACATCTTAACTTCCCATACATTTTTAATTAGGATTATGACTAGTTCTTAACATATATAAAAGGAACCTTGAGGAAAATTTGCATCTGTCACTATGTACGGTGCTTTTTGGCTTGTCAACTTGTTTATAAGACTGATATATTTATAACGTTATATATATATATATATATATATATATATATATATCATTACAGGTTCTAGATGTCGGAGGCAATACTTGATAACATGGTCTGCTTTTATCTTTTCCTCGCTGGCTATTCTCTCACATGCAATATTCCATATTGTCTTGGCTGTTAAAGGGGAGCAGTGGAGTGTAGCAGATGCTTACTGGGCTAGACTAATTGGTTTCTCACGGTAAATTGTGATCAGGAAATTTATTTGTTTATTCATTTATTTTCTCTTTTGTAGTTTACCAAAAGACTCCAATATATATAGTACTTACGTTAGACGTTTTGCAGTGCAAAATCTTGGATATCTCCATCTGTAATACATTGCCTTGTTACACAAGTATTAGCAGCTTGTGTTTCTCTAACTGAAATCCATGGGAGTATATTTGGTTTGGGTTCATGGAGAAGTTCTTGGTCCCGTAATCTTCATTCTTCTGCTGTACTTATAGGTTAGTTATTAATCTAGATTACTCAGTAAAAGATTACTGTGTAAAATTTTATTCTCTCCATATTGAACCTAATTTCTTGTCACCAACTTTTTATTTTTCTTCAACAACTATATTGGCACTTCTCAAAAAAAAAAAAAAAAAAACTATATTGGCAGATTGCCAGCATATTATAAGGAGGTTTAACAAGTAACATAGTTAATGATCATGATGAAACTTATAAGTCTCACGACTAAATTTCTTCACTAGTAATTTTCTAGCACAAGTTTGTTTTTCAGCATTTATCTCTGTTTTCATGTAATTAGATTGATGATGTTAACTTCTGATTAATCTTTCTTTATATATATATATATATATATATATATATATTTGGCTGCATGGAAGGTTCCCATATCAGGGTCTTGTGCTGCTTATTGTTGCCTGCTCTACAGCTGGTTGTTGGTATCAGCCACCCATCTTGGGCTTCTCTTCCATTTTTCTTATGCAGTAGTATTGGCCTTGTTGATTGGTCTCTAACAAGCAATTTTCTTGGCCTCTTCCGGTACTTTTTCACATTTCCAGGACAACTATTAGCTAATTTATTCTACAATAAAATGCATTTTTGCTTTACTGATTTCTAAAATCTGTTTATGTGGATTTAAAGGTGGTGGAGGCATCTTCTGTTATATTCAGGCTTCAATATAGTCTTGCTCTATGTGTATCAACTTCCCATTGTTTATTCAGAGACGCTTTTAGAGGCTGCTCATTTCTTTGGCCTATTCAGAATATCTGCGAAATCATCCTGGTCAGAACTTTGGTCTGCTTCATCTCTTCTGCTTTTCTATGTCATGGTATGCATTTTGTTTTATGTTAATTACTTGTATGACAAAGTTATACATCTCTTCACTCCCAAATAATATGTTCTTCTCTTTCTTTTCTCGAATCTTCATAGCTATCATGGATTAGATGTGATCTAGAAGAAATGGATTTCATTGTATCCACTAGAGAGAGTAGCTTAACTGAGCAGCTTCTTCCCAAAAAGCATTCGTTTTTTATTCGCGAATCAAGGTACACACTGTACTAATGTCAGTTTTAGCATCCTCCATAATATTATATGTTTCTTCTTATCGCTCATCCTCATTGCTTAGAATGTCTTAACTATTCAAAAACTGGGATAAAGCTATATGGTGGAATAACTTATGTGGATTATGGTAGAAGGGAACATTTTTTTAACAAAACTGTTTGTTTTCACTCCAGTTTATCTGTAATGTTATGCAGATCTGGAGTGAGGCACACTAATGTATTGTTGAGAAGAGCAGTTTTTCGGACTTTCAGTATCAACTTTTTCACTTACGGTTTTCCAGTAAGCATACCATGTCATTTATCATTTTGTTTTTAACGCATGCTAATCCCTCTTTGATAGTGAAAATATCTTTGCTTTTGTATTCCCCATATCAATAACACTTCTAAATAATTCAATAAACCTCCATTGCAGATTTCCTTGCTTGCTCTTTCATTTTGGACTTTCCATTTTGCAAGTCTATGCGCATTTGGGTTACTTGCATATGTTGGCTACATTTTGGTTGCCTTTCCTCCCATGTATCAGTTGCACCGGCTGAACGGCTCGCTTCTTGTTTTTATTCTTTTCTGGGCTGCTAGTACATATGTCTTTAACGTGGCATCAGCAGTCCTTAAGCTAGACGAGGTATATTCCTATTTTTTCAGTCAATGCTTTGGTCTCTTATCAGATATTGCCATAGAACTCTTGTCACCAGAGTTTTCGAAAAACATATTTTGCAGGACATGAAGATCTGGGAAACCATTGGTTTATGGCATTACCCAATACCAGGGCTTTATTTATTGGCACAGTTTGGTCTTGGTGTTCTTGTTGCTATGGGCAATCTGGTGAACAATTCTGTTTTCTCCTATTTGTCTGATGGAGAAGGACCATCTACAAATGACAATTCTACTGCAGAAGGTGATGGAGTTAAAGGTATAAATCTATTGCTAGTAGTTTTGCCCTTTTCTTGTCTGTTTATTAGTTTTTGTTGTAAGGAAATGTCATCTCAATTCTCATCTGTTCATAAACTTGTATATTTCTAAGAATTTGAAGGGAAAGAAGATACTACAGTGTTCATTATCGCTACGATTGTGTGGGGACTGCGTAAAAGCTCTCTTGTTATAGTATTGGCACTGCTACTTCTGATGGCAACTAAACCTGGCTTTATTCATGCTGTATACAGTAAGTTGAATAAATGTACTCACTTGGTTAAGCTAATGCACTAACATTTCTCCTCGGATGTATAAATATCTCCGAAGCATAAACTTTTTGCAATTTCTAATAAAGCCTTCCGACAAGACTGATGCAACCATTTTCTGCTGCTATATCACAGTGGTCTTCTTCATGATACATCTTCTAAGGCATACGGTTGGCAGAAGACTGCGCCAATCATTGATTCTTTTATGTGAGGCACATTTTGCTCTTCTGTACATTCTTCAACTTAATGTAATCTCCAAGGCCTTGGAGCAGAAAGGCTCATTTTTAATGGAAATTCTCACAGCATTAGGTAAATAATAAATGATGTTCTACTCCTAGCCTAGTGTTTGATTTTTCCTTTTTAACTTATTCATGTGGTCCAATTCTTTTTCGTTTTGTTTTCTTGCAGGCCTTCTTAATCAAGCTACTGCCGTTGAATTTCTGCCAATCGCTCTACTTGCATGCTTCTGTTCCATTCACAATCATGGGTTCGACATGATTTTCTCATTTTCCGCAATTGTGCAACATGCTCCTTATCCTCCAATTGGCTTTAGCATTTTGAGGGCGGGCTTAATTAAATCAGTTCTTCTTTCGGTATACACATTTGGATCCAGTGAGAACCATCAAATCAACACTTCTCATGGTATAGTCTTACTTTCCAATAAAACCATTGTCATATCAAGTGGCATAAAATGATTATTACCTAATGCTTTTTATAGTTCTGTTTTCAGAGAGAAAAATAGCATCATATCTAAGCGCAATGGGGCAGAAGTTCCTCTCAGCATATCGGTCGTGGGGAACCTACATTGCCCTTTCGACTATTCTTCTTACAGTGTACCTTGTAGCACCTAATTACACTTCCTTTGGTTATCTATTCTTCCTCTTAATATGGTTGATTGGGAGACAGATTCTAGGAAAAACAAGATGGCAACTCTGGTTTCCTCTCAAACTTTACGCAGTTGCGGTGCTAGTGTTGATATACAGCATGAGTGTCTTCATCAGTTTCCAGACATGGTTGTCAAGAATGGTTGATCTTGATTTTACCTTTGGATATAACAAAGAAGCTTCAGTACTAAGAAATATTTGGGAATCACTAGCTGTATTAGTTGTAATGCAGCTATACAGCTATGAGAGGAGTCATAATAAATATTGTCCAGCAGAAGACTGCTATGAGCAGGAAATAGTAGCGCCGTCTTTTATCAAACGTCTTCTGATTTGGCACAGTGAGAAGATTCTTTCTCTGGCATTGTTTTATGCATCACTATCTCCGGTCAGTGTATTTGGCTGTGTTTATCTGCTTGGTCTGGTCATAAGTTCGATGTTACCGAAAACTTCTAGAGTCCCTTCAACACTATTTCTAGTTTATTCAGCGCTTCTTGCAATAGCTGAGTACCTCTTCCAAATGTGGGGTGACCAGGCTGAGATGTTCCCCGGTCAAAGGCGCTCTTATTTGTCACTACTTCTCGGTTTGCAGCTGTACAAGCCTGGATTCTCTGGTATAGAATCAGGATTAAGGAGCAAAATTTTGGTTATAATCGCGTGTATACTTCGGTATAACGTGTTCCATTGGTTGGAAATGATGCCATGTGACAATGGAAGTAGAGGAAAATGGGATGAGCCTTGTACTTTGTTCGCCTTATTAGATGGATATCTCCCAAATGAAGAAGCAACAAGCCCTGGCTTTTCATCTTTAAACTCTGCCATGTTCACCCCTGAAAGAGGCTCTTTTGAGGGTGTTAACACCAACACTTACTTGTACAGTTATTTCTGGGAAAGCTCGAAAGAGAGCCAAAAATGGAACCGAAAAATGATTATTTCTTTGAGAAAGCAGAGGCTTGACATGCAAAAGACTACTTTAAAAATATACATAAAGTTTTGGATAGAGAACATGTTCAATCTCTTTGGCCTTGAGATCAACATGATTGTGCTTCTTTTAGCCAGCTTCACAGTGTTGAATGCCATTTCTTTGCTGTATATTGCATCACTAGCCGCTTGTGTTCTCTTACATAGTGTAGATTTTCAGAGAAGGAAATTGCCCTCTTTTTCTCTCTTATTAATTTTTATTGAATCGGTACAATATATATATATATATATACTACAACTATAAATTCTAGGTTAAAGAGAATCGGGAAAATATCCCACTAAACTAGGAGATAAGAGATAGAGGAAAACTGAATTTAAAGATAGGAAATCAAATCCTAATCCTAATATCAATCCGAACTATATTGAGGATAATTCCTAATTTGAATTTTGAATTTCAACACATAGGCACATCATAAAGAAACTGTGGCATGTGTTTGTGTTCTTGTCTGCTTCTATTATCATTCTTGAGTATTTGGCTCTTTGGTTGAATCTGATATCTCCTGCTATGGGTGAGGCACAAGTCCCTTGTAATGACTGTTGGAGAGCTTCTGATGTTTATTTCAAATACTGCAAGAAGTGCTGGCTAGGTATTATCTCCCTCAAGAAATGTTTACTATGCAGGTTAACTTGAAAATTTTATTTTTGTTTTCAGTGGTGGCTGTTGTTTTCAGTAGTGTACAGTGTAGTCATTTTAAACGTTTATCGTTTTCAGTTATTGTTGTTTTATTCTAGTTTTTCATAATGTTCATAGTTTTACAGAATGGCTTGTTTTTCGTCATTTCTTTGCATTTGATGTCGTTTTTAGTATCATCATTTCATCGTTCTTTCCCTCTCATTGTAGTTTCTTTTTTTTTTTTCCTTCCTTGTCCCCTCCATAAAATGTTAATGCGAATGCAGATGGATAGTTTCTATCCAATATAAATTCTTGTAAAATACTTCAATCTGCATTCTGCACTATTTTTCAAATACAGTAGCATATATACACCTCTACAAATTTGAGAGATCTATAATAGTAAAACGGACAAAAAAAAAAATTCCTTAAAAACATGTGATAAGTGATACCAACTATATCCAGCAGGTGATAACTCAAGCAACCTGTTTGACTTTTTGTAGGAACCATAGTTGAAGATCCCCGAATGCTTCTGAGCTACTTTGCAGTGTTCATGTTTTCATGTTTCAAGCTCCGAGCAGACCGTTTGTCCAGTCCTTATGGATCACAAACATATCGGCAAATGATATCAGATTGCCACAAAGCATCTGTCCTAAGTGATCTCTCATTTGAAACAAAAGGCTTGTGGACATTCCTTGACTACCTCAGGCTTTATAGCTATTGTCACTTACTAGATTCAGTTCTTGCCTTGATCTTGATCACGGGGACCCTCGAATATGACATCCTTCACCTTGGCTACCTTGGATTTGCACTCGTATTTTTCCGAATGAGGCTTGAGATATTGAAGAAGAAGAACAAAATCTTCAAGTTCTTACGAATATACAACTTTGCTCTAATAGTCCTTTCTCTTGCTTACCAATCTCCTTTCGCTGGAGACGCCGTTGAGGGGAAATGTGACGCAACAGATTATATTAGTGAGGTGATTGGTTTCCATAAGTATGACTACGGATTCCGAATTACTTCAAGATCTGCACTTGTTGAAATTGTTATATTCATGTTGGTTTCACTTCAGTCGTACATGTTTTCATCAAAGGAGTTTGATTATGTGTCAAAATATCTAGAGGCAGAGCAAATAGGTGCCATCGTACGCGAGCAGGAGAAGCGAGCTGATTGGAAGACGGAACATTTACAACACATACGTAAGTCCGAAGAGAAAAAGTCCCTCAGAAATATGCAGGTGGAGAAGATGAAGTCAGAGATGCTCAATCTTAAAATCCAACTTGACAGCATGAGCACTACTTCTAACTTTGGTAACACTTGCGCGGAAAGTGAAGGAATACTTATAAGGGGAAGAAAATATTCCATGGATTCATATGGGCTGAAGGGTATTCTTGCAAGTGAAGAAAAAGATTTAAAGAGGCAAGATCTTAGTCTGAGCTCTGATGCTATGTCAGCTTTTGATCCAATTGAATCTCCAACAAGTGAAGGGACTATGGAATCCACTAAGCATTTGGTGGATACACTTCATGAGATAACCGAGCTAAAGTCAAAATCCTCTCATTCTAACTTTTTTGATTCAGAAAGAAGGGATAATGGAGAAAAGTCTAAAGCAAAGGAAAACCCCATAATCTCCGCAGTTCATCTTATTGGCGACGGAGTTTCTCAAGTTCAATCACTCGGTAATCTGGCAGTCAACAATCTGATTCATTTCTTGAACATAGAAAAGAAAGTGCATGATTCGGATGAGCATTCTTCTGAGGATGAGGTGTATTATGAAGTAGAAACTCAGAATATAGGATGTCAACAAGCAGATCTAACAGCTTCAGTACTACAATCCAGTAGTGAAAAGATCATGTCTGATGCTACATACTCTCAAATCGGTGTAATCCTCCGTTACATGTGGGCTAAAATGAGATCGAATAATGACATTGTATGTTACTGCTGCTTTGTCATGATGTTCTTGTGGAACTTCAGTTTGCTTTCAATGGTCTATCTCATGGCTCTCTTCTTGTATGCTCTCTGCATAAACACCGGCCCAAGTTACATGTTCTGGATAATTATGCTAATTTATACTGAGTTTTGTGTGTTACTCCAGTACTTATACCAAATCATCATCCAACATTGTGGATTCACTCTTCATGTAAGCTACCTCCAGGAGTTAGGATTTCCTTCTCACAGGATTGTGTCATCTTTTGTTATGAGCAACTTGCCTCTTTTCTTGGTGTATTTGTTCACTCTTATACAAACCTCCATAACAACAAGAGATAGTGATTGGGCAAATATGGTTACAGAATTCAGCTTTAATATGAGAAAGAATCATTTCCAGCAAGATTTTGTCAAGAGTTATAGCTGCAGTGAGAGAATACAGAGATTGTTTTTGCCTGTGAGAAATGCCATAAAGCAGGTTACTAGGAGCCTCTTCAGATACTGGAAATCACTCACAGAGGGAGCAGAAACTCCACCTTACTTTGTGCAGCTATCTATGGAAGTCACAATGTGGCCTGAAGATAGTATCCAACCAGAGAGAATTGAGTCAGGAATCAACAGGTTGCTCAAGATCTTACATGATAATAGATGCAAAGAAAAGAACATGAACCGATTCCACTCACCAAGTCGGGTTCAGGTTCAGAGCATTGAAAGGAGCCCAGAGAATTCTGATGTAGCTTTAGCTGTTTTCGAGGTCGTATATGCCTCGCCTCCGACAGAATCTATCTCAACAGAATGGTACAAATCTCTAACTCCAGCTGCTGATGTTGCTGGTGAGATCTTGACAGCTCAACGTGATGGCATTCTAAATGAAATCAGATTTCCATATCCAATACTCTCTGTGATTGGCAGTGGGAAAAGAGAGATAGACTTGTATGCCTACACATTCTGCGCAGATTTGGCTGTGTTCTTCTTGGTTGCCATTTTCTATCAAGCAGTCATAAAGAACAAAAGTGAGTTCCTTGAGGTCTATCAGCTAGAAGATCAATTCCCAAAAGAGTTTGTATTTATTCTGATGGTATGTCTCCTTTCTTTACAGCTCATAATACACATAATCATTAAAAAAGGTAATTTCACCTCTTTATTTTTCAACCAATCATAGATTTACAAGTCAACTCTAGTTTCTACAAATTATAACACAACACAATCTTGCATGTTAAAACCTAACTTGTTAAAAACCACTTCTTATGACAATTATTGCTTCTCTTAGTCATGTTAGTGTTTTGCAACTATACTATGTTCTGACGTTTGCATTTTGCAGGCAATTTTTTTCTTAATTGTGCTCGATCGGATCATTTATCTTCGATCATTTGCCACGGGAAAAGTGATCTTCTTTCTGTTCAACCTTTTTCTCTTCACATATTCAATCACAAGGTATGCTTGGAACATAGAGCTTTCACATGGATATGCTGGAAGATTAGCACTGCGTGTTATATATATGACAAAAGCAATTTCTCTGGCTCTTCAAGCCATACAAATTCGATTCGGGATGCCACACAAGAGCACTCTATACAGGCAGTTTTTGACAAGTAGTATTTCCCAGATTAACTTTCTTGGTTTTAGACTTTATCGTGCTTTGCCATTCCTTTATGAATTGCGATGTGTACTTGATTGGTCATGCACAACTACGTCTTTGACCATGTATGACTGGTTGAAAGTAAGTATTATTTACATTCTTCATTATGCTAATAATATGGTTACTTTCTTTTAATATCGGTATATATTCTTCAAATAATTCATGTGTTTGTTTACTTATGGATCTCATGTGTACATCTTTCTTAGTTGGAGGACATTCACGGTAGCCTATTTCTTGTCAAATGTGATGTGGATTTGAATAGAGCTAGCCATCAACAGGGCCAAAAGCAAACCAAAATGACAAAATTCTGCAATGGCATATGCTTATTTTTCATATTGATGTGTGTTATATGGGCTCCAATGCTGGTAAGAATCTTCAAAAACATGCCAAATCATTAGAAAAAAAAATCAAATTTTAAATTTTCAGAGTTTCTTAGCCAAATACACATGATATACAATCCAGTCAATATAAAAACTCCAAGACCAAATTCTCAAGTCACCTTATTTTCTTTTCTTTGTTCTTTTTGCCATTATTTCTTTTTATTCTACACAGATGTATAGCAGTGGAAACCCCACAAACATAGCAAACCCCATTAAAGATGCCAGTGTAAGAATCGACATAAACACTGTCGGTGGAAGGCTGATATTGTTCGAGACAACTTTGTGTGAAAAGCTCTCATGGAACGAGCTTGACATGAACACTAAGATGGACACTCACGGTTATCTCAGAACCTACAATGAACAAGACATTCAACTGATATGTTGCCAAGCTGGTGCAAGTTCCTTGTGGCTTGTCCCTCCTGTTGTCCAGGCCAGAAGAGAAGGAAATTGCCCTCTTTTTCTCTCTTATTAATTTTTATTGAATCGGTACAATATATATATATATATATACTACAACTATAAATTCTAGGTTAAAGAGAATCGGGAAAATATCCCACTAAACTAGGAGATAAGAGATAGAGGAAAACTGAATTTAAAGATAGGAAATCAAATCCTAATCCTAATATCAATCCGAACTATATTGAGGATAATTCCTAATTTGAATTTTGAATTTCAACACATAGGCACATCATAAAGAAACTGTGGCATGTGTTTGTGTTCTTGTCTGCTTCTATTATCATTCTTGAGTATTTGGCTCTTTGGTTGAATCTGATATCTCCTGCTATGGGTGAGGCACAAGTCCCTTGTAATGACTGTTGGAGAGCTTCTGATGTTTATTTCAAATACTGCAAGAAGTGCTGGCTAGGTATTATCTCCCTCAAGAAATGTTTACTATGCAGGTTAACTTGAAAATTTTATTTTTGTTTTCAGTGGTGGCTGTTGTTTTCAGTAGTGTACAGTGTAGTCATTTTAAACGTTTATCGTTTTCAGTTATTGTTGTTTTATTCTAGTTTTTCATAATGTTCATAGTTTTACAGAATGGCTTGTTTTTCGTCATTTCTTTGCATTTGATGTCGTTTTTAGTATCATCATTTCATCGTTCTTTCCCTCTCATTGTAGTTTCTTTTTTTTTTTTTCCTTCCTTGTCCCCTCCATAAAATGTTAATGCGAATGCAGATGGATAGTTTCTATCCAATATAAATTCTTGTAAAATACTTCAATCTGCATTCTGCACTATTTTTCAAATACAGTAGCATATATACACCTCTACAAATTTGAGAGATCTATAATAGTAAAACGGACAAAAAAAAAAATTCCTTAAAAACATGTGATAAGTGATACCAACTATATCCAGCAGGTGATAACTCAAGCAACCTGTTTGACTTTTTGTAGGAACCATAGTTGAAGATCCCCGAATGCTTCTGAGCTACTTTGCAGTGTTCATGTTTTCATGTTTCAAGCTCCGAGCAGACCGTTTGTCCAGTCCTTATGGATCACAAACATATCGGCAAATGATATCAGATTGCCACAAAGCATCTGTCCTAAGTGATCTCTCATTTGAAACAAAAGGCTTGTGGACATTCCTTGACTACCTCAGGCTTTATAGCTATTGTCACTTACTAGATTCAGTTCTTGCCTTGATCTTGATCACGGGGACCCTCGAATATGACATCCTTCACCTTGGCTACCTTGGATTTGCACTCGTATTTTTCCGAATGAGGCTTGAGATATTGAAGAAGAAGAACAAAATCTTCAAGTTCTTACGAATATACAACTTTGCTCTAATAGTCCTTTCTCTTGCTTACCAATCTCCTTTCGCTGGAGACGCCGTTGAGGGGAAATGTGACGCAACAGATTATATTAGTGAGGTGATTGGTTTCCATAAGTATGACTACGGATTCCGAATTACTTCAAGATCTGCACTTGTTGAAATTGTTATATTCATGTTGGTTTCACTTCAGTCGTACATGTTTTCATCAAAGGAGTTTGATTATGTGTCAAAATATCTAGAGGCAGAGCAAATAGGTGCCATCGTACGCGAGCAGGAGAAGCGAGCTGATTGGAAGACGGAACATTTACAACACATACGTAAGTCCGAAGAGAAAAAGTCCCTCAGAAATATGCAGGTGGAGAAGATGAAGTCAGAGATGCTCAATCTTAAAATCCAACTTGACAGCATGAGCACTACTTCTAACTTTGGTAACACTTGCGCGGAAAGTGAAGGAATACTTATAAGGGGAAGAAAATATTCCATGGATTCATATGGGCTGAAGGGTATTCTTGCAAGTGAAGAAAAAGATTTAAAGAGGCAAGATCTTAGTCTGAGCTCTGATGCTATGTCAGCTTTTGATCCAATTGAATCTCCAACAAGTGAAGGGACTATGGAATCCACTAAGCATTTGGTGGATACACTTCATGAGATAACCGAGCTAAAGTCAAAATCCTCTCATTCTAACTTTTTTGATTCAGAAAGAAGGGATAATGGAGAAAAGTCTAAAGCAAAGGAAAACCCCATAATCTCCGCAGTTCATCTTATTGGCGACGGAGTTTCTCAAGTTCAATCACTCGGTAATCTGGCAGTCAACAATCTGATTCATTTCTTGAACATAGAAAAGAAAGTGCATGATTCGGATGAGCATTCTTCTGAGGATGAGGTGTATTATGAAGTAGAAACTCAGAATATAGGATGTCAACAAGCAGATCTAACAGCTTCAGTACTACAATCCAGTAGTGAAAAGATCATGTCTGATGCTACATACTCTCAAATCGGTGTAATCCTCCGTTACATGTGGGCTAAAATGAGATCGAATAATGACATTGTATGTTACTGCTGCTTTGTCATGATGTTCTTGTGGAACTTCAGTTTGCTTTCAATGGTCTATCTCATGGCTCTCTTCTTGTATGCTCTCTGCATAAACACCGGCCCAAGTTACATGTTCTGGATAATTATGCTAATTTATACTGAGTTTTGTGTGTTACTCCAGTACTTATACCAAATCATCATCCAACATTGTGGATTCACTCTTCATGTAAGCTACCTCCAGGAGTTAGGATTTCCTTCTCACAGGATTGTGTCATCTTTTGTTATGAGCAACTTGCCTCTTTTCTTGGTGTATTTGTTCACTCTTATACAAACCTCCATAACAACAAGAGATAGTGATTGGGCAAATATGGTTACAGAATTCAGCTTTAATATGAGAAAGAATCATTTCCAGCAAGATTTTGTCAAGAGTTATAGCTGCAGTGAGAGAATACAGAGATTGTTTTTGCCTGTGAGAAATGCCATAAAGCAGGTTACTAGGAGCCTCTTCAGATACTGGAAATCACTCACAGAGGGAGCAGAAACTCCACCTTACTTTGTGCAGCTATCTATGGAAGTCACAATGTGGCCTGAAGATAGTATCCAACCAGAGAGAATTGAGTCAGGAATCAACAGGTTGCTCAAGATCTTACATGATAATAGATGCAAAGAAAAGAACATGAACCGATTCCACTCACCAAGTCGGGTTCAGGTTCAGAGCATTGAAAGGAGCCCAGAGAATTCTGATGTAGCTTTAGCTGTTTTCGAGGTCGTATATGCCTCGCCTCCGACAGAATCTATCTCAACAGAATGGTACAAATCTCTAACTCCAGCTGCTGATGTTGCTGGTGAGATCTTGACAGCTCAACGTGATGGCATTCTAAATGAAATCAGATTTCCATATCCAATACTCTCTGTGATTGGCAGTGGGAAAAGAGAGATAGACTTGTATGCCTACACATTCTGCGCAGATTTGGCTGTGTTCTTCTTGGTTGCCATTTTCTATCAAGCAGTCATAAAGAACAAAAGTGAGTTCCTTGAGGTCTATCAGCTAGAAGATCAATTCCCAAAAGAGTTTGTATTTATTCTGATGGTATGTCTCCTTTCTTTACAGCTCATAATACACATAATCATTAAAAAAGGTAATTTCACCTCTTTATTTTTCAACCAATCATAGATTTACAAGTCAACTCTAGTTTCTACAAATTATAACACAACACAATCTTGCATGTTAAAACCTAACTTGTTAAAAACCACTTCTTATGACAATTATTGCTTCTCTTAGTCATGTTAGTGTTTTGCAACTATACTATGTTCTGACGTTTGCATTTTGCAGGCAATTTTTTTCTTAATTGTGCTCGATCGGATCATTTATCTTCGATCATTTGCCACGGGAAAAGTGATCTTCTTTCTGTTCAACCTTTTTCTCTTCACATATTCAATCACAAGGTATGCTTGGAACATAGAGCTTTCACATGGATATGCTGGAAGATTAGCACTGCGTGTTATATATATGACAAAAGCAATTTCTCTGGCTCTTCAAGCCATACAAATTCGATTCGGGATGCCACACAAGAGCACTCTATACAGGCAGTTTTTGACAAGTAGTATTTCCCAGATTAACTTTCTTGGTTTTAGACTTTATCGTGCTTTGCCATTCCTTTATGAATTGCGATGTGTACTTGATTGGTCATGCACAACTACGTCTTTGACCATGTATGACTGGTTGAAAGTAAGTATTATTTACATTCTTCATTATGCTAATAATATGGTTACTTTCTTTTAATATCGGTATATATTCTTCAAATAATTCATGTGTTTGTTTACTTATGGATCTCATGTGTACATCTTTCTTAGTTGGAGGACATTCACGGTAGCCTATTTCTTGTCAAATGTGATGTGGATTTGAATAGAGCTAGCCATCAACAGGGCCAAAAGCAAACCAAAATGACAAAATTCTGCAATGGCATATGCTTATTTTTCATATTGATGTGTGTTATATGGGCTCCAATGCTGGTAAGAATCTTCAAAAACATGCCAAATCATTAGAAAAAAAAATCAAATTTTAAATTTTCAGAGTTTCTTAGCCAAATACACATGATATACAATCCAGTCAATATAAAAACTCCAAGACCAAATTCTCAAGTCACCTTATTTTCTTTTCTTTGTTCTTTTTGCCATTATTTCTTTTTATTCTACACAGATGTATAGCAGTGGAAACCCCACAAACATAGCAAACCCCATTAAAGATGCCAGTGTAAGAATCGACATAAACACTGTCGGTGGAAGGCTGATATTGTTCGAGACAACTTTGTGTGAAAAGCTCTCATGGAACGAGCTTGACATGAACACTAAGATGGACACTCACGGTTATCTCAGAACCTACAATGAACAAGACATTCAACTGATATGTTGCCAAGCTGGTGCAAGTTCCTTGTGGCTTGTCCCTCCTGTTGTCCAGGCCAGATACATGAACTCTCTTCAGAGGAGCATGGACATTATTTTCTCTTGGCAATTCACTAGGGATAGACCCAAAGGAAAAGAATCAGTGAAATATGAACTCACTGTTCAAGATCAGGATCTTCCTAAACCGTCAGAAGTAATGGAAGTACTAAATGGTACTGCCAATAGTTTTACAATATATAACATGTACCCAAGATACTTCAGGGTTACTGGCTCAGGTGAAGTGAGATTTCTTGAAAATGAGGTATGTATAACTTGGACATAAAAAATCGAATTTAGACATGTTGTCAATGAGCAACACTAGAGATCTAACGTTTTAACACCAATTCACGTGGCATATAAGTTGTCATTATTTTATTGATGTGTAAAAAAAATTATATCTTTAATATTAAATGATTGCATCTACCAGTAAAAAAATGACAACTCACAACCATGTGAGTTGGTATAAAAAAGTTGGAATCCTAACATGACTTGACTGCCAATATATGCCATGTGAATCTGTGAAATGAGTACATTCTATATGTATATAGGAAGATTTGGTTAGCGGCAATCTTGTTCTGAACCGTGGAAATCCAGAGTGGTGGTCTTTCCATGACATTGACGCATCAAATGTGAGTGGATGCGGAGAGTTGAAAGGCCCCTTAGCCATTGTTGTGTCCGAGGAGACTCCACGTAAGTTTTGATAAAGGATAACTGATAATTTGTCATCCTAAATCATGCATATTTTTTCTGCAAGGTGAAATACTGTTATGATCATTTTGTATTGACCAACTTTGAATATGATCTCCAGAGGGCATTCTCGGTGAAACCCTTAGCAAATTCAGCATCTGGGGTCTTTACATTACCTTTGTTCTAGCCGTAGGCCGTTTCATCAGACTACAATGCTCGGATCTCAGAATGAGAATACCTTTTGAGAACCTTCCTTCTTGTGACAGGTATATATTTACACATGAAAGTTTTACTCATGTCAATCACTAGTCTTTTATTGTGAAATCTTGTAACTGTAAAAACTTGTATGTGTAAGTTTTCCCACCTAAATCTTCCTTGGTTCTCCAACGAATCTTTATTATACACGATTGTTTAAATTTGGTTAACATGTTTGTTTATGCAGATTGCTGGCCATATGTGAAGATATTTATGCAGCAAGAGCAGAAGGTGAACTTGAAGTTGAAGAGGTCCTATACTGGACACTTATTAAAATTTACCGGTCACCACACATGCTTTTTGAGTACACCAAGATGGACTAAATTGTATTATGTATAGAAAGAGTTGTGTAGTTTATACCTAATATTCTACAGTAGAAAGTATATAATACATCATGTCAGAAAGGCTAGCTAGGCATTAAGATTATATTCTTGTAAACAAAGTACTTTTGCTACTAGTAAGTACGTAGATAACGGACGTATACATTATATTTACTATATAGCTATCATCCTCGAAGTGTGAATTATGCCAATCAAGTGTTATCTTATGCGAGGTGAAATGTCATTTAATTATTTGTAGAATCAATACCGTAAAAAAATGAACCGGTTTTACATATATGATATACCCATTGCTAATCCCGTTAACGTGGGGGCCACGGAATGTGAGGAGGCCATATTTGAATATAACCTGGAGTTTGAAAAGAAAGTTTAATCGGATTGCTGGAATAAATAATAATAATAAAGCAAATGAAGATGCGATAGTCCGAGTGTCTTAGACCTCGTTTATTTCACTGATTTGAGTTTTCAATTTCAGTTTTGCTACAGTTAAAAGCTCTTATAAAAAGTCACATCTAATTTTTTCTGTTATACTTAAAAGCACTCACATAAAATCACATCTCAATTTGAATTAAAAATTCGAATTAACGAAATAAACGAAACTTTATTCTCATCTTATAGAAAAACTCGAATAAACTTGGATTTCTACCCACAATAAAAAAATAAAAAAAAGAAATAAACTTGATAACAACCAGAAAAACGACAAATTTGTATACAATTAACAACTATGTGCTTTCAGTTGCATTGAAAGACTGAACTTCCGTTTACTTAGAGTGTGTTTCATTGGTGGATTTATGCCATGATTCGAATCATAGTTCGTTATTCACATTTTTTCTCATAAAAAATACAAATAAATCGAGAATAATTCTTAATCATGATTCATGAACGTTCACTTAATATTTAAACTGTTACTTATTAGTTACTATTATATGATATATTATTCTAGGTGTCTGTCCAAGTTATAAAAAAAATACCTTTTTATTCATTGACATTAACACAGTTGAAGTTACATAATATATCCTCTGTTTTATTAATAAATATGAAATGGGCATGTGTTTATTTTGACAAATTTTAAGTTTTCGCGGGTCAAGACAAAAAGATAAGCTTTGAAAAGGTAAAATATTGATCTTGCAATTTGTTGTGCAACAGAAACATTCTAAATTGGGCATATTGATGACTCCTAGAAAGCCCTTGACTTAATTTGCTGTCGTTTCCTAAGATTCCACCTATAGCTAGCTAGTTAGCACCATTATGTGCATGGCTCCAAATTTAGTTAGTTAAGGCATAGTCAACCGCTTCTATTCCAATTGTATGTGACGGACACACACACAAATATGAACATTCTCAACCAAAAAAAGAAAAGAAAACGACAAATATATATGCGACTGCTGCACAGCTCAACAATGAACTTGGAGAAAATATATACATATATATATATATATATATACATGTGTGCGTATGTATGTATTCAGTTTATTTATATGTGTGTTTGTATATATATTGTGTTTGTATAGTTCAAACTAAATACCAAAACTGCCTTAAAGTTGTCGACTCGTCATGTGTGCTTAAGAGATTATTTTTTTTGAAAGGAAAAATTCATTTCAACTCAAACTAGAGAATTACAAATACTAATGTTGACATAAATGACCCTGAGATACAAGGAGACTCGACCTCGATAAAAAAACCGGATCCAATTTCGAATTAAATGCTCAAGGAGTAAAGTGTACCAAGTTCTGACAATCGGCAACCGAAAAGGCACACAAATAACTCTTTTAATAACACCTCTATAATTGATGGAGCATTCTGATCGATCGAGATCAAGTGACCTATACGAAAGTCACACACTACACCGTATTGAACCAAATCAAGCGGACAATATTTAATATATATATGGAACTTAGAAGAGTTAATTGAGTTTGTTATACAATATTTCCATGGAGAGCAAAAACTATAATGCAATATTCTCTAACTTAAATTGGAACTATATATATATATATATATATATATATATATCTATGAATGATATTTTATATGCTCAATGTTTGATACAACCTGGATATGGAATTAGTACTACTATCATGACGCATAAAAAAATTAACAAGGGTTATTCAACGCGTTACAAGTAAGCTAACTTTGGAAGGAACTTTTTACAAGTCTTTTCATATTATTTATAGCTAAAAAAGAAGTTTCAGTCAGATTGAAGCTTCTTATTAATGCAGTCAACGAGTCCACAACGTCTCCTGTAAATGGACTTAATTTTCCTTTTTTTTATCCCTTATCTTATAGTTCCTAATTGTCGGCTTGTATATCACCAATCGCCGTGTACGTCCCTTTCCATTTCTTTTTCGAGTTGACTATGGTTCGTTCACACGTTCTCAAAGCTCATCTCTTATCCTGAGAATCGAGAAATCTGTGATCAATCAAACCCAAGTATATATGCATATATACATACATATATATATATATATATACACACATGCATGTACATGTTTTTATATATAATCACTTCTATATATGAATGTACGGCTGCAGTTCTAGAACCAATACAAGCAAGCCACGATAACCCTTTATTTCAACAAGAAGCTCGTGAGTACTAAACTTTTGTAGTTTGGACACGGTTAAGCAACCCCCATATTTGATGGGAACTCAAAGTCAAAATTGCCTTTGCTAATTTATTTACGTGCAGCCGTTCTAATGGTTAACGCCAATGATTAGTTTGATTTCCTTAATTTCGACTTTGCATATATACCATAAACGAATGAAAGTGAACAATATAATTTAGGTAGTTTTCGCCATATCTTCATGAAGATGAGCTATTCATATATATGTGTGTGTATATATATATATATATATATTGCATAGTCCAAAACTCTTGACCGACTGTAATTTGGTACATGATATATAATCTAGTTTTTTCTTCTATTTCAGCTCAGTCACGCAGAAATTATTAATATATATATATATATATATAGTTTTAAATTATTCTCTCACAAAAATAAAGAGATAAACTTTAAGAATTCCAAAAAAAAAAAAAAACAAAAAAAAAAAACAAAAAACTACCCTAGTAACAAACCAATGAATTAATCCCAAGAACCAGAGACAAAAACTGTACAACAGAAAAACCTCTCCTAAATCTGGCAATAACTGGAAATGATTATCTTTGTTTGTGCTGTCATTATTTTTTCTCCTTTAATTTTCCCCTGTTTGCGGTGCCCAACACACCCTGTAATTCTGTAAAATACTTGTCCCATCTGCAGAGATTCCACCGTTATACACACAACCATATTCCCTGGGAGGACGATCCAAAATCATCATCCCCACATCGGGATGTTCACATCGACTGACCATCTCATCAAAAACCGCTAAATTTAGCCAGATATTTTAGATTTTTTTTTTAATTTTTCAATTTTTTTTTCCCCTTTTGCAGTAACAATATTATTCAAACACCCCACATAGACATATACTAAGTGAACACATCCAAACGACGTCGTATAGCAGCACAGTTGTCTCTTGTAATGTTGGAAAAATGATGAATTTTTTAGTTGTCTGCTTCTCACACCGCCACGTGAGATGATAATTTGTGCCAACACAAACGCACCTCATCTGGTCGTCACGCAATGCGGTCTCCACACATGCAAGTGGTGGTGGTGGTTCGCAACGTCGTGACACCGTCGGAAACCGTCTCCGGTCGAACTCACCGGAATCTTCCATTCTTCGCCATTAACGTTTCTCTCCTCTTCTTCCTCGTCTTCTTCTCTAATAACACTTTCTTCGACCTTTTCTTCTCTAATATCATCATCTTCGCCTTGCTCTTGTTGCTTCTCTTCTTCATCGATGTAGTCCTCGTCCTCGTCCTCGTCGTCGCGTATGAGGTGCAATCTCAACCGTCCGTCTCCGCGGTAAGCACGGAGAATCTCCGGCCTGTTGATCCTCACCTCCGTCAGCTCCAGCCTCCCGTCCTTTCTCACCGGCCGGAGAAAGAAGCTCGGCTGGCCGTTCCGGTTAAGCGAAGAAAGCAGCGGCGGAAACCTCTTCACCTCCTTACTACTTCCGCTCATCCTCTTCCTCCATTTCACTTTCTTCGACGTCCACGGCCTTTCATCATTACTCACCAAAGAGAACTCTTCCTCGTCGTCGTCAACTCTCCTCTCGTCGGAGCTCTCGAATCCGAGGCTCTCGGTGCACGACATAAGCCCGTCGACGCCGCCGCCGATGTCGTCGATGAACCCGATTCCCCTGGGATCCTTTTTCCTCGTCGGAGGCGACGGTGGTGGTGAATTTTGACTGATCATGGATGAAGACTCCAAAACGTTAGGGGAAGGACGTCGTATAATCTCGCTTGTGGCAGTGACTAGGCCTAGGGCTTGGCACTTCCACGGTGGATTGAGGACGTTGTGAGGGCGGTGATCGGCGGCGTCCACGGACGCGGCGGTGAGACCCAGAAGAGAGTGGACGCTTTTTCTACAAAAGCTCATCATGATTGGGAAAAAGAGCTTAAGAAGAAAGAGAAATAAGGACAGAGAAAGGTAGAGAGCAGTGTGTAGAGAAAAAAGGGTCATCAACATGATTTTTATTTGTTTGTTCTTTTTGTTTTTATCTTTTGTTTTTGGAAGAGGAATTAATAAAGTGGGGAAAAGGGGGATGAGGGTATTAATAATATCCTCACGCCAAAGATAGGGAAAATGATGAGAGAGAGAGAGAGAAGAGAGAGAGAGAGAGAGTCAGAGAGAGAAGGACAGAGAGGTTGTGGAATGGTTAAGAGAGTGCCAACGAGACAAAAGAGGAGGGTGATTAAATGAGCTGGAGTGATAAAGAAAAGAACGCCGGGTCCCACGCAAGATGGCCCTAAGACTTTCTCTCTCGGATCTTCAATAATCAATATGTATATTTCATAGCTAGTTTTCTTTTTCTTTCACACTCTTATATCCACAAAAATATATATATATATATATATATACACACACATAAATATTCCTCATCTAATGCTCACCCGTATTGGGTCGACCTAGCCAAAAGATATATATGGACTAATATTGGAATTTGGAGCTATGTATGGACTAAGGGAGAAATTATAATACGCATGAGGCTTGGCTTGGTTGTGCTTTAATTGACTGCCTAATGGTGTATTAATTATATATATATTGACAGCTTGAAATGCCATACACATATTTTGATATCATTTGAGTGGATAGTTATCTCTCTCCTAATTACGGGATAAATTCATGTAATTTCACGAAGTGATCGGAAAAAGAAGATTGAGAGTTATCCTATATATGTATTTGTCATGTATATCCAATGGTTTTACTTTAAATTCTTTTTAACCTTTAAATCGATGAAAAAAGTGATTTTACCTAGTCAGCTAGTTAATAGCATCACAATTAACGTTTACGAGAGATATTAACGAAGGGATAAATTCATGTAATTTCACGAAGTGATCGGAAAAAGAAGATTGAGAGTTATCCTATATGTGTGTTTGTCATGTATATCCAATGGCTTTACTTTAAATTCTTTTAATCTTCAAATCGATGAAAAAAAAGTGATTTTTACCTAGTCAGCTAGTAATTAATAGCATCACAATTAACGTTTACGAGAGATATTAACGAAGAAATAAAAAAGATTCGTTGTTATTATTTTGTTTTTTTAAAGGCAGATGACCTCATATTGCATAATCCAGCAATATAAAGGGGGGGAAAAGAAAAAAGAAAAGAGAAGCTTCGGATAAAATTTGAATCACGTGCCTGAATTAATCACGGCGATATAATTAAGAAATAGAGTTAATTAACTGTGTATACGCGGAGAGATCACTTGTCCATTATATCTATTTTATATCCCCTTTAAAATTTTTCTTTTATTTCTACCCGTCATTTTATAGGTTAGCCATATGAATGTCATGCATCACGTGAGTTATTTTGTTTTTTCCTCGTTGTATATACATAATAATTAATACTACTCCAACTTTGATTATTTGAAGGCTTTTTTTTTCAACTCGAACTTTGATCGTTATTAAAAAAAAAAATCGAACTAAGATGTTACAATATTATATGCATATCCGTATATATATATATATATATATATAGCTCATAATAAATTAAAACTTAATTTTATCCCTAAAAAATTGTGGGAATATTACTTTATTTTAAAGTCAAACTAAAACACTTAGAAAGATATTTTCCTCAGTAATGACGATTGGATTGTTTATTGAAGTAAATCTAATCATTTTTATTTATTTTTTCCTTATTTCTCAATTTTCTTTATTTCTCAAATTTTCTCACTAGCGAATATATATATTCTGTTCCAAAAAAGAATACACACCTATTTCTTGGGAAAAAGTATAAAATTATGCATCTATAATATCTTAGATTGGGAGGATTAGAGCATCGTCCAAGCAAATTATTATGTGTTAAACTGTGAAGAATACCAAAAATTATGTACTATATTAATGTTTATTACGATAACTTTTTATTCCTTTCGTTTCCATTAGTCATTCTATGTTGTTTGATTTATCGGCTTTTGAAGTCGGCATTAATTACACCTAGTTGTTATTGTTATGTAAAGAGGATTTTTTTTTAATACTAAAAACTGCAGGGACTATTTTTTGTTATAAATTGTGTGAAGCATCGGCTATACGATTTAATGAGATATCGATATATGAATGATGTTTATTTGTGTATATTAAAAAGTCATTTTCATTAAATTCTAATGCATATAAACTCGTTGGAAAAGACATCTTCCGTGTCCTTGATAATAGAATTATGATATTTTTCAAGGAAAAAAATAATAATAGAATCATTATATACAATATTTTCAAGGCATAAAAATTGATCGAAAATAATAATAGTACACTTTGATCGTTAGTTCTGATTAAATATTTACTGTATGTAATAGCTGGTTAGCCCCCAATAACAATTTCTTGCCCCGGTCAAAGAGATTTAATTAGAAAACGAAGCCCGGAATTAGGAAATATAATTCTGAAAAATGTTAGAACTTAGAAACGTATGATGTTATGTAGTTTGCATGAGAAACAAAAAGAAATAGAATTACTGAAGTAACGTCTATTGCTAATTCTGGTGTTGTATTTATTATTCACTTTTTTTGTTGACTCTTGTTTCGGAAGGTGGGGCCCTTGGAAATGATATTTGCTGACATGAAAAGGATATTCTGGGAACACGCACAAATAGAGAATCTTGATCCTTTCCTTTAACTGCCACAATAATCTAAAACATTATCTGGATTTGTTATAGAACCGTTACATGCCCACGTATGCATACAACATTCACACATCGAATATTGCTCTGCATATACTAATTTGTGGTGATTTTTTTTTCTCTGTTTGCGTGGAATATTATATATACACAAATTATAATATATGTGGTTTTTGTTGTTTACATAGTACTGTCCATTTTAGTTATGGAGTTGGCGTGGAAGGTTCGCCAAAATGTGGGGTACATTCTATTGCCAAACTTAATAGGTTTCTCTCGATTGTGACATTAGTATATTGGCAGCAAGTTCGATGATATGCGCATATAATAGGACTTAAAAGAAAGAGTTTTTTATTGCCCATTTTTAGCCAAATATCTTGTAGCATCTAGTTATAATCAAGCTGAAAATTGCCACAATTAGAACCAAAAAAAAAAAAAAAAATGTTTTGCCAAGAAAATTTTCGTACTTCTTTTATAAATGAAGATTTTGATTTATGAAGAGCTAGGAACACTGAACTTTTGTTAGTACTTTCAAGCTTGATAGAATTCAAAATAATTTTGTTATGAGATTCATGTGAATCTTCTATCGAGGACTGATTGATTAGGTTGATGATTAGCCACGAAACTCAGAAGAATATGTATTATATAATTGGCTTGATCACATATCTAATCGGTACTAATCAATATGAAAAAACCTCAGAATTCTGTTGAAGAAATCTCAAAATTCGCTATTTTTGAACACGATGTACCACCAATTCATCATAATCATAAAAAGACCTAGCCTTTTTATGATTATGAATACGATGTACCACCAATTCATCATAATCATAAAAAAGGCTAGGTCTTGTTAAAATACTGCATGCGTAATTAAGCTATTCCAAGATGTTCAAACCTTTTGGATTCCTAGACCATGAAAAGATTTGTGCAATAAGCAACACGGATGTTTAGGAAGACTACTTTGATTGAAAAGACGAAACTAATTATAATGTCTTATCAAAGATTCGAAAACAGTGTACAATATTATCTCACATAAAAGAAGTTATGCAAATATATATTATACACAAAATTCTAATAGGGCCAGGAGCTTTTGAGTTTATCAAAAACACTCGCGACGAAGTTTATCATTTATGCATGGAAATTTCGCCGCGAAAAGCGTGATGGAAATTTTATGTCCGTATCGGCAACCACATCGACATCGTAGTGGGAGCCGTAGATTCTGCACATGTTTTGTCTTCATATTTTGGATAACCACACACATGACACATCTTATCATCTCTCAGTACACCAAAATATACCGTTGCCGTCAACCTTCCCAAAAAGAAAGACGCCACCTTTTGGGGCCGCATAGGAGTTCTTTTTGGACTCGTGGACTGGCGCTCAACTTGTATGTGGGCTGCGTTGATCTCAGGACCCAACAAAGGGGAAAAAAAAAAAAAAAAAGAGACACGTACGTAGATAAGTCTTAAATTTTAAGATTATTATCACCGGTATCTATAAATTTTAAAGTCATTTTCAGTTTGTCTTTTAAATCTTAAAAATTTTCACTTTATTTCTTAAATTTTAAATTATTCTCATTTAACTCATTTTATTGTAATTTCTACTAAAATCAAACCAAAATAAAAGAGATTAAGTGCAATCATGTTGTTTTTATCTGTTTCTTTTTAACAGAAATCCAAATAGAAAAGTCAATGACTTTATTGTTCTTTTTTTTTCTATATATTTTTAACAAAAATTACAACATAAAATGTTAAGTGAGAACAATTCAAAGTTCATGGAGTAAAGTGTGAGTTTTTAAAGTTCAAAAGACAAACCGAGAATAATCCTAAATTTTAGGAAGCACCAATGATAATAATCCTAATTTTCACGCCTTATCCATAATTAATACCCTTTTTAGTCAAAAGTCCATACTCGTGCACTAATATAAGTTCAACAATTTTCTCATTAGTGATAAGACTATAATCACCGTTAACTAACACATGATTTTTATGTATTATGATGTTAATTGTTACAATCTACCTATCAGTTTTGTATGTTCAGCTAATGTGTGTGTTTTTAAATATAAATTCATATGTTAGCCATTAAAGATATTAGATCTTATCAAGTTTTATATATAGAACACATTTTATAAATTTCTTTTAAATTTATGATTGTTTTCCTTTTACCCTCCAAATTTAGAAATTCATGATTTCCTTCTCTCAAACTTCAAAGAATTAATAATTTTGCTCCGTTTATCCAATTCCGTTTATGACATGCCACTAATTAAAACTTGATTTAAGATAAAATCATATCTTGAAGAGCGCATTGTCACACTCTCTCGTTGAGCAACTTCATGGCGAGCGACAAGAGCACAACTGATCAGTACTAGAGCTGTGAGGATGTGAGTGGCGACAAAAACGACAGTCTTGGGCAACGACTTTGTCAGCCTTGTAAAGGGTAGAGCTGCAATAGGCGGATCAGCAAAGACGCCGGCGACAAAGTGGTGCTTGGCTTTGGGCTTGGCTTTTGGATTTGAGGGGTTGGACTCGGAATAAGATGGAGGAAAAAAGAGAATTTTTTTTTTTTAATCTTTTAAGTTTTAGTTTTTATAAATTAAAATCTCGTTCAGTTCGTGGGTTCGAGTTTTTAATTCGAGTTTAGATGTGATTTTATGTGAGAGTTTTTAACTGTAGTAAAAAAAATTAAATGTAACTTTTTATGATAACTTTTAACTATAAAAAATTAAAATTAAAAACTCGAATTAGTGAAATGAACAGAGCCTAAATGTTAAGAGTAATTTGAGTCTTTATTAATTTTCTTCTTAAAAATTACGATTTTAACTCCAATCAAGTTTTAATTAGTGTCGTGTCAACTTTAAACAAGTTAAAATCGTATAGGTTAAAACTTACGATCTCATATGCATTTATATATCAATGCCGTATAGGTTAAAAAAATACACCTGATGAGAATTAGAAATTCTCAAAATTTTTAGTGGCACAGTTAAAATCGTTAATGTTAAGTACTTCTGACGAAGATAGGCACTAAATTATTCTACATTACACTACTTGGGATAAAGTTAAAATGGTACGACACCATAATTTGGATGGTCATGAACTTTTTTCCGTGTAACTGTCGCAGTCACGGCTACAACAGAAGAATAAGACGTATCAAATTAAACCGGTTCTAATTCATTCGGCCACAACAGAAAAAAGAAAATAACATACAAGAAGAAAAGAAAATCTTATAAGCAGAGTATGAATACTCGAGATTTTGCGGCGTATTAATAATGAAGTTTCGTCTTTTAGCAAAGACAAGATAAGCAATTAAGATTCCTAAACAAGTATCATCTTCTTGAGTACGGACAACTTGTATACTTAAGTATGTTGTGCGTTCCAGTGTGTATGTATTAAGGGCCCGTTTAGTTCGCTGATTCGAGTTTTTAATTCGAGTTAAGATGTAATTTTATGTGAAATTTTTTTACTATAACAAAAAGGTTAAATATGACTGTTTTTGAGAGTTTTTTTACTGTTACAAAACTCAAATTTTAACGTGCTTTTGTTTCAAACACATACTATTGCTTATGCATATACTTCAGTTTAACAATTATATTTTTCACCTAACTAGAGAAACTCCTTGTAAGCCTTTTCCAACTAAACCGTGTTAAATTATCAAATCCAAATTATGCACACTGGTTTAAATCGCTTAAACTCATCACGTAGTGGAAGACTTAGATTTTCATTATTAATGTCATGTTAAAGTTTTTCAGCTCAAAATGCGCAATCAATTATTAGAATGTGTAATCAAGAGTTTCCGTAAAAATATATGTTTTCATGATAGTCTAACAAAGCAAGCTTAAATAGTAAATTCAAGTCTCTGCCAAAGGAAATTATATTAATTGGATATAAATCATCAGAAATATAATGGTTATATCGATGCCCATTACACATGATCAACGTGATTTCTTGAAAAGGAAAGATATATTTCAAATCAAAGAAATATAAACACCAATTCCGACTTGCATGGCATTTCATTAGAAAACACAACTTCAATGAGCAACCGCAATAAACTCGAATGAAACAAAGCGTGTACAGAGTTTCAAAACCGGACATCAGAATAGGTACGCCTCAAATACACGACTCTTCAACATGATTAAGTACTATATATGGGCACTAATATCTGCATAACCAATTCCCCTACGGGTAGTGGGAAAAATCGTGAACAGAAAGGTTGACAAAGCCCCAGATCCCAAAGGCAAATTCATGAACAGAGAATTCCACTCAGTCCCAACTTCAGAAAAGTAACAACTTTGCACATCTGAGTCGCCAAGAGCAAAGATCAAGAACAACAACAACGACACAAAAGCATGAACAAAGTCCACAAAACGGAGCTTGAATCTCTCCAAGTCTTTTTTCCCACATTGATCATTACCACACTCACTATCGAAGTTGAAGATGTAGAGTCCTCTGAACGTGGCGATCCCATAATGAAGTTTCCCAGTACTGTCTACGAAGGTGTCCGTGAACGACGACAGGAAACAAAAGGTGGCGCAAACAGCGATCAAAATAGCGGTGAGGTACTTGTTGGAGAGGTGGCAAACGCCGTTGTTAGAGAAGGAAGGCGCGAAGGTTTGGAACGCGAGGACGGTCCCAGTGGGCAGAAGGTTAGCCAGATTGGCTGCACTGGCTAGGGTCTGGTGGACGGGGTGGTTTGGGGCATTTTTTAGTGGTGCCAAACATGGTTCAGCCATGAATAATAATGTTAGAGATCTGAGAGAGATTATTGTTTATGTGATATTAATGATTATATATATATATATATATTTGAACAATGCCATATTTTAATCTGGAACACACTTTTATAGGAAGTGATGATCATATGATTGTTTTAGCTTGCCTAACTATAGCATGTAAATTGGTAATGTGGGTTGGAGGCTGTTGACATGGTTAGCGTCAGCCGTCAGGGACATCTCATGTAACTCTATAAAAATGGCCTAATTTGTGTGTTTTTAAGAAATACACAATGTGATTTATGTGTGTATACAAATGCTTACCAAACAAAAATTCTTGGTGTTTCCGAGAAGTAACTGATTTGGCATTTACAAGCGGTTTGTGATGCACTCTTGCGTGTTGTAAAAGAAAACCAGTTAGTGCTACTGATCAATACTTACTTAACTTGGACTTGTCATAAAGTTTATGTTGATAATGTTTTCCCGGTTTCTTTTCCAACTATAAGAGCAAGATAATTTTCTTCTACCTGCTAATCTTCCCAAAACGCATGTTCCATACATCTTTTTGTCGTATGCTTTACATGCATGATGAATTATCTTTCACGGTCCATTTAGGAATTCTGAAACACATATGATGATTGACTTCTGCGCCATATGATCCGTCGAGGAAAGAGATAGTTGTCAAAACGACACGACCGTAAAACAATACTATAGTTACGGAAACAAATACTTTCTAAACAACAGTCCTTTAGAAAATACAATGTTCAGTAAGACAGCAATGACAAAAAGTTTGAAAATGCAAATGGATAACAACGGAAAGGGTTTTGAAATCGACAACTTTCTGATTGCAAAATCAATATAGAAACGACACAAACTGTGAAAACGACAAGATTTAACAAGGAGAACAGTCTAGAAATGTAACACCCCCATACGCTAAACCGGTCTAAGGCTGAATTTAGCGAGGTGGTGCTACTTAAAACATATTTTCTATACTTAAAACAATGTCATTTTTAAGATGCGGAAACTTGCGGTTGATTTCATCACAAAATTTATCCTAAAAGTTTTTGAACAAAATGAGTAAGTGCGCAACCACAAATCTTAAACGTTAAATAGTTATTCAAAATTGACATAGTAACAAAACAAAACATTTTAAGCCCATCTATTGTTTGGAAGTACATATAAGCAAGAAGCCAGATGTAAGACTTGGAGTACTCAGCCAACCTTGGAAATCATTTTTCTTTTTACTCTTCGGTAACAACATCATCTGCATCACAAGGTAAAACTAATGAACAAGAACTCAATAAGTAGATTTCAAGTATAGTAAGTATCTAAAATCTCTGTGGCTAAAATCTCTTTGTTAATCATTATTCATAAACTTTCATACTTATTCTTAGTTTAGGTATGATACAGAACTTCGGTTCTAAGTAAGCCTCTCTATACAGGACTTTCTCTAGTTTTGGCCAATTCTCTTCTCTTAAACACTAAGCGGGGTTTTTAGAATCTCTTTCTCTTGTGATCAACAAGAAACTTCCCACTAGCATTTTTCTCTAGTTGTCTCAAAGAGACAGTTTCTCTACTTTGGGGTACCGGTCCCTCGCACCCCTGCTTACCCAGCCTCTCATCCATATACCATACCATAAAATATCTTAAAACATAAAAACATAATAAGCATAAATCATAATCTCTTTCAAAATAATTAATCATGAATACTCTTTGAACATAATCATATAGGATCTTGTGATGCAATTTTGAAATGCTTTTAACTCTACTTACCTGAATTTTGATCACCACTTTGCAAGCACAAACTAGCTGGTTGTAGGGAGCCTTCAATGTGCTAATTAACTTTTAAAACCACAGCTTTCAAAAATCACATTCATATCATCATTTAACAAAACACATAACTACGCATTGTTACAAAAATATTCATAACAAATTCATCAAAACTCAAAATATTATGAGACCAGTGGCAAATGAAAGTAGACTCAAAACCCTCTTTTTAGAGCTACTACATGATAGGTTTCGAATTTTTCAAACTAACCAAAAACTGCCCGAAATCCAGATTGAAGTATAATCTCGTCAGGAAAATGAAAGCTTTTTAACTGAACTTATAAAATTCATAACTAAATGTAGAAAAATCCGTTTGGAGTGATTCAAAAACTCATGTAAACCTTGAGATGTATACTTTAATAGAAAAATATAACATCTGTCAAAATCATAAGTACATATAGCACGGACACAGAATCTACATAGGCTGTACAGAGGACTTATATTTAAACATTTCATCAAATACCTAGCATGCAAATCTTAATCTTCAAAGACCACTCTCAAATAAATGAATCATCATCTTAATAAGAGTTTATCTTCAAATAATCATCAATAATATCAAGCTAAAATCATCAATTTCACCCAGAAACCAATATTTGAACCAAAACCTCAAGAAACTCATTTTTAAGAGTTTACAACCAACATGCATGATAAACCCCATCAAAAATCTGAATCTCAAGTAGGATTTCAACATCTTAATCTCTGAAATCTTAGTTCCTAACATAAGAAAGAAGTTACCTCAAAGAAAAACGTGTTCCCAAGTGAATAGAAGCTCAAAACTTGGTGATTATTTTTTGGTTCTAGGTTGAGTCTTTAGCTCATTCTCTCTTAAAAACCTAGGTTTGATTCTGAGTTTTGGGTGAGAAAAGGAGTGAGAAGAGAGAAAAAAGTGCTATGGTCAGAGTTCTAGGGTTTCTTGCTGAAATAGACTCAAAAATGAAGTCTAAACTTGATAAAAACTAAACAAAAATAAAGTGGCCTTATAATAGAACAAGGGCCTAGGTTTTTCTAAGCCTCTAATAGTTATCCTAACCTCATAAAATAAGCTATAAAGTCTCTATTTTTCTTCTTCAATTAGGTGCCTAAAGTTCACTCAATTTGCTAACATAGACTTCTCTCACCAAAACTCAAAATAACAACTAAGTCCTCAACACATTTACATAAAACCATATAATAAAAATATAAAATAATAATTCATCATTAAATAAATCATAATAGAGGTAAAATATCATATCCAATTATCATAATAAATATCATTTTTCTTCATAAGTTTAGCACATTGAGTTCCCACATCGAGCTA